AGAGTTTTTGTAATTAGCTTGTGAATGATTACAAGTGTTTTGTACATCTAACAAATAATCTTTAGTTAGCTTCCAATGATTAATTTGAACTGGTAGACATATATAGGAAAGGAATGTGAGAGGCGTGTACATAAGACAACAGGTACATTATCAGTATGCACTCATTGGCAGTAATTTGCATGGCCAATAATTAGAGTTGTTTTTTAAAATAACCAATTTACCATTAGAACTATGGTCATCCACCATTATTATCTCCTTCAGCAGGTTTTTAGGAGTGCGGTCGATGATGCTGCGCAGGGCTCTTTGGAGAACAGACAGGGCTTCATCCAGGTAGATGAGCACCACACTGAGACTTGGCAGGTCCTTGGGGTAACTCTTTTTCAAACATCTATTTATTAAAAAGAATTATATGAAATACCACTGTATTTGTTTAGAAATATGAAATATTTAGCAAGCGATAAACTGGGTGGACGTTATTTGGATTTTCTTTTCTTTGAATGTACAGGAGAGAGAATGAAAGATTAAAATCATGAAAAATAAAAGTTGTACCGAGGATCTCTGGTATCTGGAAGAGGTCGATCCAGAGGGAGGCGATCGCTCAGAAAAACATTGTACCCATACTTCTCATACAGGCTCTGAGCCTCTCTTTGGTCATCCTCAGAGAGATTTGCCCCCCACTCCTTGAACAAGACCGAGTTAGGGAACAATTTTTCAGACTTTTTCATTTGGGGTTGGATATTTGGATCACCTTCCTTTTGCTTCTCTACTTGCTCCTCTGCTGATTTCCTGTGTCTGTCGCTGACTTCTTCTAACATCTTCTGCATGACATCCTGCTTTTGCTCAAAACGTCTGAGTGCATCGTCTTCAGTAGAAAACAACATCAGCAAAAACATGATCAAGGAAATGGAACAGTTAATATTCCTACTAAACAAAACAAACACTGCACAAAATAATGTGAAAATTACAACATAAAACACATTTATAGTGAAGGTACAAACACCTGTTATAATTTGACCTTATCTGTCGTTAATAACAAAAGCTCAGTTAAAAGCCATTTATTTATTTATTTTAATAACTGTACATACTCTTGTTCCATGACTGCCTTTTGTATTTTTTTTTCTTTCTTTTTATTAATAAATATTCTAAAAACTTGTTGTCACATCTTCAGTACATGTGTAGCCAATAC